TTCAATATCTAAGTGTTTCTTGTAGAGGTGGTCTGGCGGCAGCGTAGGTTCTTAGGGATTGGATATCTGAGAAAGATTTCAATTCTCCCTCACTGATGAAGCTTAGATTGGCTGGGTAGGTTATTCTCAGTTGAAATTGCTTATCTTTTAGAACTTTGAAGATAGGGCTCCAAGCTCTCCTAGCTGGAGGGTTTTTGTAGATAAATCTGCTGCTATTCTAATTGGTCTTCCCTGGTAGGTAGTCTGACCTTTTTCTCTTGTAGCCTTTAGGATTTTTTCTTTTATACCTACTTTGTTTAGGCAAATTATTATGTGTCTGGGAGTTGGTCTTCTCATTTGTTGTCTTGCAGGGATTCTCTGAATCTCTTGTGCTTGAATTTTTTCATCATTGATGAGATGAGGGAATTTTTCTTGAATGATTTCATGAAATGTTTGTTCCAATGTGGCCTGTTTCTCTCTCTGCCTCAGAAAGGTCAATTACTTTTTGGTTCAGTCTCTTGAAGTGATCATCATCTCTTGAAGGTTTTGTTCTGTCTTTTTGAGCTTCTTTTCTATGCTTTTGACAGTTTGGGTTAGTTCTGTGTTTTGGTCTTTGAACTCTGAGATTCTTTCTTCTGCTTGGCTAATTCTGCTTTCCATGCTTATTAGTTTGTCATTCATTTCCATCACGGTATTCTTTGCTGCTGTTATTTCTGACATCAGCTCCTTCCTATTTTCCTCTTGTCTCTCCTCAATATTTTTATTCTCTCTATTAATGTCTTGATGTCTGGGTTTGTTGCATATGACCATTCTGGGGGCTCTTCATTGTTTGTGTTCCGGAGTCTGTATTCTCAGTATCTGATCTCCCAGGGGTCTATGTGAGACCTAAATTCTTCTTTTGGTTTTTCTTCATTTGTGTAGTTTTTTCCCTCCCTACTTTTTCCTTCCCTCCATGTCACCATCTTCTTTAATTCTGTTATTCAGGATTTAGAGGGATTGCTTTTACTTCTGTTTGTTCAATCTCCTGTTCTTCTTATGTATGCCCTTAGCTTTTTCAATTCTGGAGTTGCACTGTAGGTTGGGGGTGATCCTTTTTGCAGTTTTGAGATTTACCTAAGGGGGGAGCTGTGATTCAAAATCTATCTGCAGGTCCTGGTATCCGTCGACAGGGGTATGGATAATCTGAGACCAACTTCCTACTGCCTTGGAATCTATCCATGCAGTGGGGCTGTAGGTTTACCCTCTTGAATCACCAGCAGGTGGTGCTATCTCAGCTGCTCACCCCAGAGTGGGTGGAGCCAGACAGGAGCCAGGTAGAGGCCAGAGATGGAAGCCTGCCTCAGGGCACACAGGAGGGACCCACAGCTGGCAGGATGTCAAGGTGGCAGCAGAGGTGGCAGCGATCCTAGCAGATCTTGCCTGCAGGGGCTTGAAGGACTGAAGTCATGGATCACCTCAGGCATGGGTAGCGCAATGCACTATGGCTGCCACAGAGGCCGCAGCAGCACCAGCAGCTGCTCTGTCTGTGGCTGCAGTGGCTGTCCAGACCACTGCGATGCCCCAGCAGTGGTGACAGCCAAGCTCCATGTGAAGAGCAGGATGCCAACGTTGGGATCCGCAGCCCCTGGGGAGAGAGTCAGAGACCCTCTGTATTCTCCTTTGCAGACGGTCTCATAGACCAGGCTGCCCATCGCCATCTTGCCAGAAGTCTTTGTTTTTGTTTTTCTTTTTTTTTGAGTTGGAGTCTCACTCGGTCGCCCAGTCTGGAGTGCAGTGGCTGCTCCCGGCCACCGCAGCCTCGACCTGCTGGGCTCCGGCGATCCTTCTGCCTCAGCCTTCCGAGTAGCCGGAATTACAGGCGTGCACTACCACGCCCGGCTGATTTTTTGATTTATTGTAGAGATGAGGTCTCGCTGCCCAGGCGGGTCTCGAACCCGTGGGCTCAGGCAATCCACTCACCTCAGCCTCCCAAAGGTGCGGGATTTACAGGCTGAGCCACCGAGCCCAGCTTGTTTTTGTTTTTCATTAATCCTTGATATTTTCTACAAGAAAATTATGTCCTCTATAAACAGGAAGTATTTTCTTACTTTTTCTGTTTAGCATGCCTTTTATTTTATTTAGTTACTGCATTGGCTAGAATTTCCAGCACTATGATAAATAATATTGTTGAGAAAGTATATCCTTAGAGGGAAGGCTTTAAGTCCGTCATTAGAAAGTATGTTAGCTGAATTTTTAATATATGTATTTTTCTTCACTTGTTAATTTTGTGAACTGCACTATCTTTTTATTTTTATTAAGGATGTTCAAGGATCACAATTTTTAAAAGTGGACAAAAAATTGTTGGCACAATTTTGGGGTGTATATATGCATATGTACATACATACTCATGCATATATACATACTCACTCGAGATTTTCAAATATAAAATGTATTTGCTATGTCAAATTAATCCTTTCAACACTCTAGAACATATACGTAAAAAACAGGATCCCATATTTGCACTGTCATTTATTATTCTTTACAATTTAGATGAATTTGATTCTTCAGGAAAAGCCAGGGAAAAAAATCTTGAACAACAATTTTTGGAAAGTGAAGCAGATTTTCACTACAGCTTCCATATCTGTAAATAGAAAAACAGATTCTGAATTGTACCCCACCTAGTGAAAATAAAATTTAAAAATTATATAGAAATAAGTAAATCAAACACTAAAAAATAGAAAAATGGAAATATCTTACTGTTCACATCTTATAACGCATGTCTAAATATTCATTGAGTTATAAAGAAAATAGTTCAGATTAAGCCTAAGATCTGTTTAGTTAAAAACATTTTTTTGCCTTGGAAATGAATGCCCCTTTTATTAATCTAAGCTTTTCTTTTTCACACTCAGTTATGTTTTATAATGAAGAAGACCCACTAAAATTATTATTAACTTTACACAATATCCTACTTTCTAATATCTTTACTCCTGCCACTTCTCTTTCTTTCTGGATTAAAACATTTTTGTTAGAACACTCAAGACTCTCCTGCATAAGCTTCTAAACAAAACATCTCTGTTGACATTGGCACTCTTCCCACTCTTTGGTTCAGTTTTATGACTTCCAATTCCAAGGCCACATTTATCTATTCCAGCAAATTCTGTCTCATATATTTTGCATTAAATAGAACTGAATTGTAAATGACTATATATTGGAAGAGGGATATTTGCTTTATCTGATTTTCCACTAAATTAAAACTCCCTTAATTTTTGCCACACTTTACTAGCTCATTTCTGTCTATAAAACTCTTTCAGCACAATCAGAGGACCAAATATAATTCATGGTATATTTGTATATCTTGGATACATTCTCTCTCACTTCAAGTGTTTACACTCTCACTCATCTCTCCAATGTTAATCTTAATGGGACTATATTAAGCCTACCTATAACCATATTTTCAATGACACTTTATTCCTACAGAAAATGAGAAAGAAAACTGGCTAATTCTGTTATGATATTAATTAACTACAGTATGAATAGGTAAAGCAGTAAAATAAAAGGAGTGCAATTAAGTTGCTAATGTAAAATTATAGTCCTATAGCAACATAAGTATTTCTAAAACAACATAATTGATTCAGAAACACTTGTAAGTTGCATTTTTATAAGACTACTGAGTATAAATATTAGTGATGCTGATTTAACTTAAAGTATAATCTAATAATGGTGAGTTAGGGAATTAGAATTAATTTTCAAACTAAAAAAAACATAGAAAAACAAGATAAAAGTGCCTTAGGCAGAAACAAAAATAAATAACTATAGAGTCAAGATAAAAGTTAGTGGGTAGGCATGTAACACTAATAAGGATGCCTGATCCCAAACCAGGTGATGTGAGGACCAATGGAAAGCCCAAGCTTCACCTGTACAATGACCACTTATAAACCTAACCCTGAATTGTACCTCACATCTTTAAAATAAATAAATAAATAAATAAAATTTGCGCTTACATAGTAAAGAAGAAGCATTTAGTCTAAAATAGAGTATTCTTCTTTAAAGGAAAATACGGTTTATAGAGAGGAGCTAAGAGGATGAAACTTTGGATAAAAATATGTACATATCTATTGGGAAAAGAGGATTACATCAACAATAGTGTATAAGTCAGAAAGTGGGTAAATTGACCAAAGCCCTTCTAAGATTCATTTATTAACAGAAACAGATTAAACTTGCAATTTATATTATATTTCAACAAGTTGCATGGACATTTGTACAGCAATGGATAGAATAATTGTAAATATATATATATACATAGATATGAAAATGAGACATGTGGTAATAATTACAAAACAATTAAAATTTTAAAATTTGTAGAAGATATACAGTTCAAGTTAAATTATGATATATTACGTAGAATATACTAGACTGATGAGAAAAAAACTAACAATTACTAAGTTAAATGCAGATAAATTTAGTAGTGTATTTAACATACTAAAATTGTCAGATTTATTTCAACAAAATTTTATGCTACCTAAATGGAGAGACAAATGCAAATGGTAATAATATTTTTTAAATTGAAAGAAAAAGGATAGATGCTCCTAAGTTGAGTTTTCAGACTAACTTTAAACTATGCAAATACTACAAGGTCAGGAAAGGTGGCATAGTCATCATTTTATCCTCAGCATCCAGCAATTATAAAAATAGATATTCAGAAAATAATTATCATTATATTTAAATAGAAAAAATCTCCATGAAACATCAATTATCTTAGCAAAAATGGATACATTCATATCTGATATATCAACCAGATATTGAAAAAAATTTTTTAAGTGACATAATTTCCTAAAATAGAATTATAAGGGAATTGAATAGAGAGAACAAAAATGCAATAAAAGATATTGAGAAGTTGCATAAAATGTAGATAGATATTCAATATATTTAAATACAAAAGAGAGCCAATATAGCCACGTATTTTAAAAAATGTTTAAGACCATGTGCATTTTTTCAACAGAACTTTCTCAAAGTTGCATATGAAACCTCATATGTATTGGGCACTATTCCTTTTCAATTCCTTGCTTCTGCAATAATATTTTCTTCACACGGTCATCGATCTGCTTGGTTCTGACTCTGTATATGACAGGACTGAGCATTGGTGGCACTACAACATAAAGATCAGCCAGGAGTATACGGATACAGCGGGGCACATTCTGGCCAAAGTGATGTGTCACAAAGGAAAAGAGGGCTGGTGTATAGCAGGCAAGGACTACACAAACATGGGAACCACATGTGCTGAGGGACTTGAGTCAGACTTCATGAGAAGGAAGGCGGAAAACAGCATGGATTAGCTGGATGTAAGAAAGAACAATGGCTATCGTGTCAAACACGAGGATTGAAACGGCACCCAAGTCATGGATAATATTGATCTTGATACTGGCACAAGAGAGACGAGCAAGGCATGAGTCCCACAGACGAGTAACAGCAAAATTAGAAACATAAATCGAGTGACAAAAATAAACGCTCTCACATTCACATCAAGACCAATCACAGAAACAACCTTATTGGTAAGAATGGTGCTATTTCGGAGTGGGTTGCAGATGGCCACACAGCGATCATAAGCCATTGCCAAAAGGACTGCTGACTCCGTAAGTGTAAAGTTATGAATGAAAAACATCTGGGTGAGACAGGCTTCAAAGATGATCTCTCTGTAGCTGATCCATAAGATTCCAAGCATCTTAGGAATGGTAGCTGTTGAGCGGCCCACGTCAATGGTAGCTAGTATGGCCAGGAAGTAGAACATGGGCTGGTGTAGGCTGCTCTCGGTCTTGATCACCAACAGAATGGTGAAGTTCCCTATTCGTGCAACCATGTGCACAGCACAAAAAGGAAAGCCAATCCAGATATGGAGGGATTCCCAGCAACAGAAAGGAGGAGGGAAAGCCGGGCTCAGTGGCTCAGCCTGTAATCCCACGCCTTGGGAGGTTGAGGTGAGTGGGTTGTCTGAGCCTACGGGCTCGAGACCCGCCTGGGCAACTTGGCGAGACCTCATCTCTACAATAAATCAAAAATTTAGCCGAGCGTGGTAGTGCACGCCTGTAGT